AATTTCATGACTTAGTAATTGTGAGTTCAATCCCTGGTGGGGCAGGGCATACTTGAGCCCAGTGGAAACAGGTCAAGCAGTAAGTGAGCAGTATTAAATAAGAACTAGACAAGATATCCCAGGACATGGGCAGTAGAACAAGAATAATCTACCTCCATATATTAAATAAAGGATTCTATTCAAAAATTCCCTAAAAGTTACCCGGATTGACAAGCATCTGATGAAGATAGGAGGGCACAACAGCCAAAATTGTGATAACAATAAAGATGAAGACAATATTCCATGTATAAATAATGATACCTCAAAAATTCAGACAGGAAAAAAAAATAATGTTGCTAACCTTTCACTTTAAATGAATAAATAATATCTTTATCTATTAGATACAATCAAAATAATTCACTGACTGTGACAAAAAGAGAGACCCCCACCCCAATGAAATATAACTGAACTCTGAAAGGGACAGAGGGACAAATGAGTATTTATCCATCCCACTCACATAGAAAATTGGGATTGGTGTGGAGAAAAATGAGAAAGTGAAGGAGAAAAGACATTGTGATTTTTAAGAGAAAACCTAGAAAATATTTGACCAATCACAATGCAGTGTGCCCTCACGTAGGTTAATATTGCATTGCTCAACTGTATTCATAAACATTAGCAAAGAATGTAGCAGGGTACCCTCACCAACTAAACAGCTTCTGCATGGCTGAACAGTTACTCGAGAGAAAAATGTCCAGCCCTGACCTCAAGTGACAAGTTCAAACTTTGAGAGAGAGGAAATATTTGTCCAACATCAAAGTATAAACATTTCTTCTTCCTTAAGGAAGTCTCTGTCCGTATTTTTCTCATATTAAATGTGTTTACACACACACACACACATGTATGCACCAGGTATTTGAGAACATGATATAGCATAATATTCACAGAATGTGACATATTTCCAGATTCTCTTTCTGATGTATGGCACCTCCCCATTAAAACTGCAGCAGTACAGAGACAGCAAACTTCTTAAAAGTGGTTAGGTGAAAAGCAAAAACAACAAGTGACTACACTGACCCCCCATAGAGGCATCCATGATGATATAAACCAAATTGATTTCATCTGCAATGGTTCAGGTAATTGTGAACAATAAGGGTTATATTATGTCATCACATTTCTTCCTGAAGGTCATTAGGATAAATGCCTACATCAAGGTGCTAGACATGGTGGGAAAGGCTTTGATCAAGGGGGTTCACTGTACAAGTTCCCGCATGATCCTGCTTCTTCCATGTGACCAAGGACTGGCTAACTGAGAATTTTCATGATCATGCCACCATCAACAAGTGACCAAGCTGTCCTAATTTTAACCCTTTTGACTACTATGTCAGGGTTATCATCAAGCAGGTGAATCAAGAGTAGCCCCACAATACTGAAGAGATGATAGCACACAAAAATGAGAACCACCTGATCTACATATGCAGTTGTTGCAAAACTCACTTCAAAGCTTAGTGTAGTTTTCATGAATAACTTTCTGTTTTTCTAACCTGAACATGTGTACAATTCAGGGAGAAAATACACTAATTTTATTTTCTGTTGAATAGTATTGCTTTTCTTTTATGCTTAGCTTACATGGGTTTAATTTATAAAACAATTGAAATTTCAAGTTGCCATATATATATATATATATATATATATATATATATATATATATATATATATATATATATATATATATATATATACACACACACAGAGGGTGCAATGGGTAAATTGTCATTTTATGTTTGTCTTTGATTTTGTCAGCTGCACAGTATAGTAGGGTCAGTTGGGCACCATCTGTGAGAAAAAGAGCACCATGATGCAATTCAATCCACCAGAAATTTGAAAACGGCATGCTGTACTGCTTGGTATTCATGCTGGAAGCTCCAATACCAACATTTCAGTGTTTGGGTGTCAATCTGAGGACAGTGCAGAGGACGAATATAATACGGCAGCTTGGAAAATTCACTGATTGTTCTGATGAGAAAAGAACACCCGAATTTGTGGGTGAGGACCTCAGACTCAACACGGAGGCCTACATCAAGTACCTTAAAAAGGTAGTGCTGCCCTTGGTCAAGAAGACCCTGCTGGAAGACCCTATGTTTGGCAACAGGACTCTGCAACATGCCACACAATGCAAGAGAACCCAGTCATGGCTGTCAGACAATTTCTGCAACCACATTACCCCTTACATCTGGCGACCTAACTCCCCAGACTGCAATCCCCTTGATTATTATGTGGGGCGCAGTTGAGCGAAAGACCAAGAAAACTCCTTGCAACACCAAAGATGAACCAAAGGCAAGGACTACGGCAACATTGACCAACTTAAACAAGGAGGCTATCCAAAAGAGTTGCAAGAGATTCCAAATTCGCCTGAAGGCCATGGTTGAAGCCAATGGCAATTTTATTGAATAAATTTACTCTTTGGTAAATATATCTGTTAAAATGAGATGTCAGTATTATTTTCATTTTTGTGTAATTTAGGCGACAATTTATCCATCGCATCCTGTGTGCATGCATGCATTTTATATATATATATATACACATATACACACATACATATATATATATATATATATATATATATATTTTGAGACACATACAAAAAAAAAAAAACATAGCTACAACTGAAGATAAATTAAAAATTTTAAAATAATTAGAATAGAGCGCATTCACGCATGTTTACAAAAAACACCATCACTATCATCACAGTTAAATTAAGTTTGTCTTCGCAATTCACTCGAGGATGATCTCTGAGGAGATCAAAAGTACATGGGTTAACAAAAACTACGGTGCTGCCTTTGATAAATTTCAACTTAACATGAAGAATCTAATTAGTGAACTAGAAAGGATTATTATAAAAATAAAATAGATATGTCTATATTATTCAATTAAACATACTTGAAAGATATGCTGCCTAAATGCACACAAATTTATTAACATGAGTAACATTCGTATTATATTTTGAGATCTCCATTTAAATTTTACCATCCGACACTTGTGATAATGGTTAAATAGAATTTTCAAAATTTAGACATACATATAGATTGTATGTTTTGTAGAGATAACAGAAGTAGCAGAATCAATTACCAAAAGTAAAATTCACCTGAACAAAAATGAAGGAATCTTGTTTATTTGTATGTGTATTTTGCAGTGAAAAATCCTCTTATAAAGCAATCATCAAAACCTATGTGCATTTTATTTTTCAATTTTAAAATATAAATTTTTATTTCAATATTTGAATCTTGAGATTAAGTGTTATTGAAAATTTTGCCAATCATTTTTTCAATTTTCATCAATTTTCTTGAGTGAATACTTTGACTATCTAAGTAAATAATATTAAGAAGCCACTTCTAAAGAGATTTGATCCCATATTCTAGCTTATTCTTCACAAACAACACCATAACCAATTCAGCAGAGTGAATGTTACAATGTTACAGCAGAGAACCAATTTTAATAGCCAGTAGGATGTCCTCTATCACAAAGTCAACCTAAGCAACATTTATTAATAGCTATATTTGAAAGGACATGAAATCTAGTCCTTGCAATAATCTCTCCACTATAAATACAAGATAAGCTCCTGAATCCAAGATTTAATTTCATCACATCAGAAGCAATTTCTTTATTCTTATTTCTTGAATCTTTCCACAATATTCAACCTAGAAAGTTGTAATAAAATGCAAGATGAAGACAAGACACCAAAATTTGAGAGTTTTATCTATTGAAGGCTATAAAAACAGACGTGTGAAAAATATGAGAAGAGGAAACTGTTTCACAAACTTGAGATAATTTTTATTAACTCAAAACAGCCTTCATTGTGTATACAATATGAATGGGTGTTGGGTCTCAGTGTGATATATATATTATTGATAATTGTATATTTCTTATCTTCAGTTTCCCTCACATTTCTTTTAGTTATTGTGCAGTTTTTTAACTCCTTGATTAAGCTCTGTAAAGAGAGGAACAAAAATTGGTCAACTTTTTATAATTTATTTTTCATATTATCATTTACTGTGACTGTATTTTCTTTTATCCAATTTCCTCTTCTCCTTTTTTAAATATGTCCAATTTTATTTTGATTAGATTTTGTATCTCCAATAAGATCTTTAAATTTGATCTATTTTGAAGTCATTGAAATGCTTCAAATATTCCAATAACATTACATTCTTTCTATCTAAAGTAAGATGCGTACAAAATATACATTTTGAGAATGCAACAATATTCAAGATTAAACAACCCAGCTTTATAACAATTTTACTTTCATTTTTCTGCCACACATAAGAAAAGATTTTGTGAATAAGAGAAACATTTTAGGAAGTACTTCCAGTAAAATAATAGAAAATATTGGACATTTCAAATTAGATCACGTTAATTTATCAGCATTTCGATAATGTCATTTGATTGGGGAATTAAAAAAAAAAAGAGAATAAAATCTGCTTCACACCACACCGAGTTAACAGTTTCAAAAGAAACTGAATTCAGTTGAGACAGCAGGGGCATGAATGTAAACTGAGAAGAGAATGCAGAAAACCTAACAATAAAACTTGTTGCCCATCAAAGTGGGATCTCAAAGGATTTATTACCAACCCAATTTTGGCATACCAAACTTAAACTTAGCTTAGTTTAGTTTGACTACATCACAAAGGGAGACATATATTAAATAATTCCAGGATCAAACAGAGTTTGTATATTCATGAATCTCACATTGCAATAGATTGATTTGTTTTCTACAGCTTAACTCTTTGCAGGTTATTTAAACCCAGAAAATATTTTTAGAGTGTAAGAATTTTTTTTTTTGGAGGTAACAATGGTTTAGTGTTACAAGTCTTATTAATTAACCCATAGCTTGGGGGGATAGTTGAATTCATACCTTTCCCAAGGATATTTCTGCATAAGTGAATATAATGAACCCAATGGGAATTGGAACCTGACTCTTCAATTAACAATTCCAAGCCATTATCCATTATACCCCACACACATCCAAGCTTACAGCAGCTGGTATTTCCCAAGCAGTCACACATCTTGGTACTGACCAGGCTCAATATTGCTTAACTATGATAATCATATGGGAACAGATGTTTCAATGTGATGTGGCCATAAGCCTCATATTGTAATAGAGAATCAACAGTCTGGTGATATCAAATAATCTTGAGGACTGAAGGTTAGCAGTCCCAAAATTAAGTCTGGCCTTTGAGTCATCATTGATGATGGTTTTGTTGGGAGCATTGCATTGTTGTCCCAGAAGTAAATATCTAAACCTAATAAGTAATATGGTACCTTGTGATAATAAAAGTGAATTTCTTTTACAGTGTTGAATTGTTATGTATAAATATATGTATTAGCAGATGCAAACAAATGTTTTACATTAGAATACTTAAGATTCAAATATACAGACTTCTCCACTGGGAAAAGTGTAAACATAATTCTGTCCTATATTGTTTAGAGACATACTCTCAAGTTAGCAGGATTTACTCTCTTATAGTTTATTGTTGGCAGAACTTGTTGCCAAGTATTAGAGTGCTCATCGACATTTCCTTCTGTGTGAAATGATTCCCATGTTGGACCTGAAGAGATGTTTGCAGTTACCGTATGGCAGGGTAGGAGGGTTAATAGATGGAGAGCTCTGGCTTTTGGGCTCACTTCATCGCTTCCATTTTGTCTTCTGGTGTTTTTAAAGGATGTGTTTTTTTGTGGAATGCTCTTTAATTGTTTTTTTCTGCAGCTTCTGTCTCCCAAATGACCGGAGCAATTTGCCCTCAGCAAGATGTTTTTGAGCTGATCCTTGAATTGACAACATGGGGCTCCACATGGTCTCTTGTCAGATGCAAGCTCCAAGAAGAGGTAGACAGATGCCTGGAATTCAGCTCATTGAAGTCGGTGGCGAGTCATGATTGTTTCTAGGCTATCTTTGTGAACTGGTCCTGCCACAGCTCTCTTATAACATCATTGTATATAGAGATTTTATTTAATTCATGTTAAATGTAGATCAAACCACAAAATTAACCAACAAATGTTAATGATGAATTTGAAAACTACTCTGAACATACAATTACAACATGTATTAAATTTGTTGCAATTTGCTCAAGATTAGCCATACATATAATATAACTTGCTTACAGTAAATAATCACAGATATACAGATCACTAAATTCACAGAGTCCAAAATAAGGGCAGGGTATCAACAGTACTCAGACTCCATATTAAAACACTGTATATCCTCCTTGGGTATTAAAGACAGGCCTGAACTTTCACAGGCATACAGCATCCAGTGATTCCATGCCTCTTGCAGATGTTAATGCAATCCCACGAATTGGGTGTTGTCTCATACATGGTCTGGAGATCATTCTGGTCAAGGAAGTTGTCAAACATCTTGCAGAGCATGTTGAATAACATGGGCATCATGTGGACAGGCACTATTCTGCTGGAATAGCAGTCTTCCATAGTCTGAATGTACATGGCACTGTTCAACATTCCCTCCACAATTACCAAGGTAGGCAAAGTTGTAACTTATGGCACCCCACACCATGATTAATGTATATTGTGAGTAAATACTTTTTGCTAGAAGTAGCTTTGCAAGGTTACATTGCACATGAAAATGACTTTCACTCACATGAAAGCAGAATGTGCTCTCATCAGTGAACACTACAGGGTGCTATGTAATTCCCCCAGTGACCTTCTGGAGATGTACATGATGATGTTGCAAACTAAATGGAAATATGGCTAGAGACACAAATGCCTATAGTCTTGCAGTAAGTAAAACAATTCCCAGGAGTTTGTGTTGATATGACTGGGGTAACATTTACCCAGACCTGTGATGTGGATACCATGTGATTTGTCACTTCTGCACTTGCAATAAGCTGATCTTGGAAAAAAATCTTTATTACATGACTATCAAAAACCTGATCTACAGGCATAGGAAGCTTTATTTGATCACTGCTGCTATGTATAGCAATTATCCAAAATGACTATCTGATATAATGGAATATGCGTACACCTGTGTTCCTCCTCACTGGAATATGATTGGCTGGTGTCTGTCATAAATACCGACGGACGTGTAGGAGAGTCAAGAGCCTTAGTCTGAGAGCTAAGTCTATAACGACACCCATTGGACTATGTCATTGATCTACACTTCTTATCTGCGACTATGACACGTACCAGTCAATTACTGCTACTATATTCTACTTGGTTATAGTAGCCAAAACCACTTAGCTACTTCATTCAAATATATCCCTTTCCGGGACATATCACTATCCAGCCTATCAAAGCCCAAAAATCTGATCCCCTCACAAATCTACAATCAAATTTAGAAGGAAATTTATTTCCTGCCAACAAATAATCCCTTTTTCACTACATATAAAACAATTTAAAGTACCTTATAATCTACTTGCAAGTCAAAAGATTTCCTTCATACATTCTTTAGTTTCATAATAAATAAAATCAAAATATCTATATAAAACTAAAATCCAAACATTACGCTTGCCAGACTAGATTTAATTTGAAAGTCTTTAATAAAAGCTCAGGAGAGGTAAATGTGAGAGTGAGTATTATTTAAAAATTAATTCTCATACTGTAAAGATTAATTAATCTGTAAATTTTGCACTCCTACAATATCATAGGTGAATCAATATGATACTGCTGTATTTTCAGTGATGTGACAATCGTTTTTGTCATTCATCAGATGTACTTCAGTAAACTAATGTTTTATCTTAACATTATTTTTCTTGAATACAATTTTTAGATATAACAGAAATCCTGGTGCACATTCCTCCCTAGTCTTTTGAACAAGAGTAGAGGTTTATCCCTTGTTTCTTGTTTAGGATTGGGTTTCTGATTCCTTCTAAAGTCTACTTCAACTCTATACTTCTAACATCTCCACCTGAACAGTGAAATTTTATTTGCTAATTATTTATTTTCTTCTTTTCAATAGGAATAGATATGTCCGCCTATTGCCTGTTTCACACTCATTCCTAGTCTTTTGAATAAGAGTAGCGGTTTATCCCTTGTTTCCTGTTTAGGACTGGGTTTCCGGTTCCTTCTAAATTCTACTTAAATTCTATACTTCTAACAACTCTGCCTAAACTCTGAAAATTTATTTAGTATTTATTTATTGATATTTTTCTTTCTTTCTTCTCCAATTGAGGAGAAGATAGGTTCATCTATCATCCAGTTCACACTCCTCTCCAGTCTTTTGAAGAGGAATAGAGGTTTATCCTTTGTTTCCTGTTTAGGATTGTGTTTCGGTTCCTTCTAAATTCTTAAATTCTTCTAAAACTCTGCCTAAACTCTGAAAAAAATTTATTTAGTATTTATTTTTGATATTTTCTTTCTTTCTTCTCCAATTGAGGAGAAGATAGGTTCATCTATCATCCAGTTCATCCTCTCCAGTCTTTTGAAGAGGAATAGAGGTTTATCCTTTGTTTCCTGTTTAGGATTGTAGTTCCTTCTAAGTCTTTTATTCTCTTTAGTATAGCCCCTTATGGTATATACTTTGCTTGGAGTGAATATATATATATATATATTTAAATATAAAAATTTTACTATAACTACTGCAAAATAACAGTAATCTTCAGCTAAAAACATCAATATAACTATTCTTTTCTAAGCTATGCACAGGACATTACACAAATTCTGTTAATACATCGACACATTGGCTATTAACAATTATTGTTTATTTTGCTTAAATTTAACCATTTTATAATTAAAAGTAAAAGCTTCAATTAAAATTAGATATAAAGGCATTACCAGTCAAATTTCATTTGAAAAAGAAAAGACATTACAGAATTAAGGGCCAATATAGTGTACATATACATTTTAGGACAACCTGATAGCAATAAAGTATTATAAAAGATTTAATGAAACAGCACTAATTCTGTATATTCATAATTAACAGAAGTAAAAGTTAAAAAATCTACAAATATCGCATGAAAGAACTCAAGAATTTGAAAGAAAATAAACCTTCAGTTCACAAAAGAAATCAAAAGTTTCAGTGGTGATATACAGAGAAGACTGTTTTTTAAAGTTTTATATTGTCAAAATGTCCTCAATGACCCACAATTAACCAAGCATGGAGAGTACAGTTACATCTTTGAAGACATTGTCAAACAGGGAGGAGTTCCTCCAACAGGACTGAGTAGGCCTTTGATTTGGATTGTCAAAATGCAGCTTTCAAAACTAAGTAATAATCCCTCTGAAGAGGTGACAAATATTTTTTTTTTTTAATAATTATATAGAAAAAGTTCCTACTGAGCAGAAAACAGAAAAATTCTGTAAGTCTAAGACCTACTTTTTGAACATTCAAGATATTCTCATGATGTATAAACAGAGAAAAAGGTAATGGCTGCATATATTATGTAGTTAATTACACCAAACTTTTCTTTGGGAAGGCTTGTCAACACAACAGCTGTTTTATTGATTAGGCCACAGATAACACCAACTGCAGTCATTCAAATCTAACTATATAGCTACTCCTTATTTTTCCTAACCACCAAATATGTTATCTTCTTTATATAAGTAATATTAATCTTTTTTTCTCTCACCTGCTTTAATTACTGACAACCAGAGAATGACAGTTTGAGAATTGCAATAAGAAGCAACTAAAATTAAGATGGAGGAAATATGAATAAAAAAAAATTTAGTAATAATGCGAAGAACTGTTTTCTGTCCTTAACCTTACAGTTTTCCTAACAAAAAGAAATTGAAGGAATATTAGACATTTTATTAAGTGAGATAGGAAAAATAAATAAAAGATTTTACATAAGTATATTATTTAAATTTTTTGTTGGATCGTCAAATGGTAATCAACACAAATACACATTTGAAAAAACAAACAAGCATACATGAATACATCTATAGGATAGATGAAATGCCAGGCCTAAAAATAAGATAAGTTGCTACATGACAGCCTGATGGCAAGATAAAAATAACCAAGACAGTATATACAAGTGAGAGAGAGAGAAAGATTTTCTTACCTACATCTGTACATTTCATAACATTCTTCATCAATAATAAATTGAAGTGCCCAAAAAATTACAGACAGCAGTACACTGGATTGTTTCATTCTCTCCCCCCCCCACTTGTAGAAATAGATTCAGCCAGATTA